GCGTTCCTGAACATTGGACTGTCCATGAGCGCCTAGGGCTTCTAAAAGCACATGGTACCCAAGCATCTTCGCGGTGGCACAAGTCAAGTATCTCGAGACGCAACAACTGGTGTCGTGGACACACAGCGAGTGGTGTGAGAAGATCGTCTCAATGCCACGCCTTGTCCTCGGATTTGGTACATCTTCACCCTACTACCGAATGCAACGCATGGCGTAGAAAATGATCACCGCAATGGAGGAGAATTGGCTGTAGTCGCTTCTCCGACGGTCAAGTATCGGCGCCCGTTCAGGTCCTTGTTGCTGATGGTTCTGAGCATTCAAGATCCACCTCTTCTCAGGTGGTTGTGTATGTATACTCCCTCTCTCGTTTTCCCTTGCTGATCTTGCGTTTGGATATCTCACAGGTGTTGTCAGGGGTCCGCGACTGTGTTAGAGAAGGCAATTAGAGAATAGACAAATCAATAGAAGTATTTAGCAGTAATATCCTTCGTAGACTCGATGTATATACAGAGACTCAAAGCCTTGAAGAGGGTTTGAGTAGAAAAGGGGGAGAGTGTGCGGTCCTTATACGTTCCTCCCACGTCAGCGTCTTAGCCTCTTTGCTGTGTTTGTTCTGTAGGGCTCTAGGATAATCGTAGGTATCCTAATAGACTGGTTCATCTTTAGAGAGCGTACAAACCCTCCGACAAGGGAACACGAGTTCCGTCTCCAGGAGCCGGCAGCCCTAAGACAATAAAGCGCCGGACTCTCTACTAGACCTTGTCAAGGGGTTTGGAGACGGTTTGGAAGGAGCTCGATGTCACAGAGGACGTTGGGATCATCCCAGTCTGCAATAAAATCGGGATGGAGGATGCGTAGGAACCGGATTGTAACAATCGAGCAGGGAAACGACCGCAATGGCCGAGTTTTGGTGGTAATACCTGGAATGGCTAATGTTCAGGTGGCAGAACCATGGGGCAGAATAGCATAATCTCTGTGACTGGAAGTAATTCTGTCTTTTTGGACTATGGACTCATGGCATAATATGATTTCCCTTAGTATCGTGCTGTTCTATCTTGAGAATCAAGTCCCAACCCGAAAGCCATTCAAAAATCTTGGCGAAAGACCAGGCCTGATGTGGTCAACTTCAAAACCTCCGTATAGAAGAATCTGGCATTTCATCATCTCAGACGTGATCATCCATTCTTCAATCTGCTGATCATCATATCAAAACTTGCCGAATCGCGGATCAGAGGCATCCAGCAAACTCACAAGCATTGCGCCCGTCGAGAGGCGTCAAGGATTTCGAACCCATCCAGGCTTGTCTGTGTCCGCGGCACATCCGCAACTCTGAGACTCGAAGTCATAGGTTCGGATCAGCTAACCATTCCCTTGTTTTGGCCCAAGTCATTATCGGTGAAGCTAACCCATTTTCTGTCTTGCCAAAGAGAATTATGAAGACGTATTGCTGTAAATCCCAGGGAATGTACCATTCCAAACATTGCACAACGTCCCGAGCATAGAATGGATACTCAATGAGTCCGACCGATCTGCTGCTGGGCAAGATAGTGTTTACAGAGTCATTGTTTCCCTACCATGAATGTCTTTCGAAATTGACCGTGAGTTCCTCTCCGTCTTTGATGTCCTTCCTGGTCACAAGCATTGCTCTCACCTTTCCGGATACTCTCATTGTCTCGCGTTTTGCGTTTGCGGCAGAATTGCAAGCATAGTTGACCAGCCGGAGCGGATTCCTCTGTCTTTGCAGTAGGCCGAACAGACACGAGGTTTATCGGTGCGATCGTGTGGCCAGGGTGTATTCTCTCTTATCGCATCTAGGTCCCCTCTATCTTAGATGAGTCCAATGGCGCCAGATCTCCGGTGTAAACCCCGATAATGTCATCTTTCTGGTAGGCAAAGCCCCCCAATGTATCTGCCACTGCCTGGAGGCCTCCGACCTTTCTCTCCGTAGTTCATGATTCGGGGCATAGCTTTTAGAGCGAGTTTGGCACAGTCACAGGTCTCCTTCTTACACACTTCGCATTGCAGCTGATCAGATTGTATCGATGTTGGGTCGGCGGGCCTGTCCCATGGCCATCGCACCGACAGGTTTGGCTCAATAGTGTCTCTCCGAGTCACATATTTTCCCTCAAATGCCCCGGCATTAGTTTCAGGTACTCGAGGAGTTTTTTCTCCGAAACTTTTTCCAGATAAATGTTTTTGCCCTCCTAGCAAAACTCAGCGTCCACTGTAGTGGGATTCAAAGATATTGAAAAGCTATTCTAGCAAAGCAAAGAAAATCTGTATAATCATTCCTGATGTTCGCCAGCTCCTCGGCCAAGTAGCGTTGACCGAGTCGAATTAATAACACCTGGAACTTCGACTTTTAGTGAGAGTCGCTGATATTCGCAGTGATTTGTTGTAATCGATTTCCGCTGACGCCCAAGCGAGCCACATTGAAGCTCTAGTCCCTCTTACAGGAAACAAGGTCGCGGAAGTGAACGATCGCTCCCCGGCTGTGGATTGCCGCTACCAGACTAATAACCTTTGGAGTTGGAAGAAGCGCTTCGACTGGTGGGAATTTTACAACGGGTCAGTCGTTCTGATCTGTCGTTCGACTTGTTCTAGATCTTCGGAGCTTTCAGGGGCGGGCTACCCTCGTTGAGCCTTCAGTCTCTTCGATGCTCTGTCCTGGAACAGTTTGGCTGGCAGTTATTTGTTTTCTTTTTGCCGCCTTTCCCGTCTGCTTTTTGAAGTAATACTGCCCGCACCCCAGGGCACATTCGCAGATCTTTGGGTGGAAATAGCGTGCCCAGAGGGGCGGAAATTGGTTGGCATCGCCACACAGTTAGTGACGTGGAAGACTGCGTAGCACTGTCTCCACGTGTAAAGAACAAATCACAATGTCCGGCGATATGGATGTCAAACTCAACTTTGGTTTTTGTCAGTCTCTTCGGATTAATCAGCAACATGCTGTGGCGAACAAATTGATCGCGACTATTGCATTCCCAGTTCTTTCGGATAAATCCTTCAAACTTCTGAGTTGACATCTCTCAAATCAAAATCCAGAGCTTCGGACCGTCGATCACGAGGTTGTAAAAGCCCAAATGTGGATCTTCACAATGGAATGTTGTTCCAGAGCTATGGTAGGCAGCATATAGCTAGACTGTATTCACGCTATCAATGCATTCAATTCGTGACGGCTCCCGGCTCGGAGGAAGTAGAGACCCGAACTTGGACTTGAATAGGACCATGAAAATCAAATGCATGATCCGCCACAGTAAGAAATTGAGCCGTTTAGAGGACTTTTAGTCACCTGATCGAGGTGGTTCGGGGCTTCCTGCTGCGAAGGTTTTGGTGGCGTCACCTGCGACGTGTCTGGAAACTGGAACTTACTGTGAGCTATCAATAACTGGACGACTCCTTCGACGCCTTGGACTTGAGCTTCGGAATATATCGTCCCTGGAAATGATGGTCTTTTGGTGGAGAAGCAATTGCTTCCGTCATTCCATCCCAGTCAGGTTCGTCCAAATCCATGATTGAAACCATACTGGGGCAAGTCTCGTTCTCCCCCAGCCGGGTAATATTCGAGGCAAGGTTAACAATCAGTGCTCAACGTGGTTGCGGACTCCTTCGCCCCTCTAATATCATGCAGAAGAGTCCTGCGTTCGATACGAAGATGCCACAAAAACATTCTCGCCGGAGGATTGAAGACCCACATCAAAGAAGCCGTGGTTCCGAATGGAGGATACACAAAGCGTAGGCGAACTGAACTCGTCAACCCTGCGGCCACAATCAACTCCGAATCGCATTCCACCGGACGACGACCGAGTAAAGGATCAGGACGACAGGCAAGAGGAGGGTGGCAGGGCATTCAAATGACCAATGCTGAGATGGAACAGTGGGAAATTTGACATGGATTTGTTGGCAATGCCAATGCGTTCTGATAACCGGTGGTGGTGGAAGGGGATACCGTACCTTTTGACGATCAGAGTAGAGCATCTGAATAAGCCAGTGTCCGAAACTAGGGGTCCGTCGGCAGACGTCGTCAATGTAAGCTATTAAGCGATGGTTTTAGCCTCTGAGCCGGCGTACGGGGAAGAAATCTAGTGCGAGGCCGAAGCACGCACAATCTCGGAGCTTGCGAAAAAATGCGGGACCCCAGTCCTCCAATTCACACTCATCTATGTGATCTCCTGTCCCCATCATCCAAGGCCAGGTCGCCCTGCTGCAAACTTCCTCTCTAGCAGTCCTCGTTCTCGATCAGTCCTCCACGCCGCTCGATGCGTTCCCAACAGGGAAGGTTACCCTATGTCTTGGCACTGAAAATATTTTCACACCGCTTGCCACTGGATACGCTGCTCTGCCAGACTCGATCAATCAATCACGCATCTTTCATGCAACGCATTCTCCGCCATCTGTGGGCTGCGTGGTTACTGCTCACTCATCTCCCTCGCTCCATCTTCTCCACTTCCCTCATCTCCTCCGCTCCCTCCGTCTGCTCAGGACTGTTTCCTCGAAATTCACATTGGGTCTATCAAAAACGAGTGAATATGACCACTCGAACTCTCAATGGGCTCCCTGTTGACGAGCATGGGCAATTTTACTTCCCTGTTGATGAGCACGGCCACTATTACTGTGAATCTTGTGCATTTGTAGGGGAGAGCCGAACGTTCAAACTTATCAGTGATTGGAGAAGGCACATGAACAAGCACGAGAGGCCATACAAATGTCGCGAGCCAGGATGTGAACTCCCAGGATTTGAACGAAAAGCCGGATTGATCAGGCATCAGAGGGAAGTGCATAACCTACACTTGTCAATCTCTTTCTCGTGCCCGTTCCTGGACTGTGAGCGCAGTTGGCGGCCTTTTAGCAGGAAGCAAACCCTAGATCGTCACCTGCAAAAGTGTCATGTGTCAATGCCACAAAGGAACCTTAGTACACAATGGACGCTACCTGTGGAATCAGCAAGAGTCACAACATCAACCGAAGTAGCAGTTGGGTACCAGTCCCATATCGAAGTAATGACCCAAGGAGAGTTTGGACAGCAGTTCCGCGTCGAGGCAGCGACTGGTCGAGAAAACCACCCGACTTGGCACCCCGGAGAAGAACTTTGGCGCAGACAATATATATTTGAGTTGGAGGACTCTATAGGACAACTAGCACAGGCAATGACACCCACCTCCTTCCAAGTCCTGAAGGATGATACGCCGACCGTCATGGACCCTGGTCAAGGGGTGTACTGGACCGCTCAATGGGATCTCTCTGACGACACAAGCGCTTCTACATGTTGGGATTTCACAGACTTCGAGGCATCCATTCTGTGTCCGCAGACCTTCCACTTTTATCAGCCAAGTCTATATGACACAACGAATTCTCTGAGGACTGAGGAGGAATGGACTGAACAATACATGCCAGATTGTACAGGGTATAGAATGGGCATTCCAACTGGGCGAATAGAAACTGAGACACTTGTATAGATCCATCACTGTGCTGAATCAACCAAACCAAGGGAAAACAGGCTCAATGGCGGGCGCGTCAGGACCAACTTGTTGAGAATATCAAATCAATGGCTATCCTTGTTAGGACCGAGTCCCTTCTGCGAAATCGTTCATTCTCCACTCATCACGTTCTCTTTCTTATAAAGGCAATTCACTTCAGCCGGTTAATAGATGAACCGCCCGTTCCTGTTCGCTTCACTAAGGCTTATCTTCGTTGCGGGCATTCGACGCTCTCTGTCTCTCTTTTCTCATATACAAAACACAAAAAAACACACAAAAGCACCAGCTTTTTTTTCTTGGACGGGAATCCCCCCAGATTCTTTCTCAATTCAATCATTTTCAGACTGGATAGATCCATAGATATTGCTACTGGCGAGTTCCCTGTCAGCAGGCCTAACATCAACAACAGCTTCAAGTCAATGGTGGAGATGGTTGTATCGAACATGAAGGTTTCGAGGTCAGCCAGTGTCGCAAGGCATTTGACAGACACTTTCACGATACCCGCAATTTCCGCAGAACTAGAGGTGATATTCTTTCAAGTTAGGAGAACGATGTCAGTTGATCGTGGCCGTCTAGTGTCGACGTCAATAGAGGCCCGAAGCATTGAAGTTGATCAAGGTCTTTGCGAGACGTGAGGTTTCGGACGCGTGTTTGGCCACTTCAGTTCGACCTTCTTAGTGTGTGATGGAATGTTCACTGGCTACCGAACTACGCCTTGTTCTGTTTCCTCTCTGTTGTCGCTGGGCTCCTTTGCATATCAGACTACTGTCTCTAGGCCAGGGACGGATAAGCAGAACGGTGAATGTTGCTGGGCAGACGTTGTCAACACGACCATGGTCGAGAAAGATGGGCTGAGCAGGGGGTGGGCGAGAATGAGATTCCTCACGAGCCACAAAGCACACACAGATTCTGCTTCATTTCCTGGCTTGCATATTCGTGACGTGACTTGAGGCTGCGACTTAGGGCTGGGCTGATGCACATCGAAGCGCAGCGCGTTTTTTAGCTATAGCAGGCATCTTCTCTGATCTTGGGTTCATCTCCCTTCCAGAACAGGTTCTGGATCTGCGGTCTCCAGCATCTTTGAATGTCGTGGCTCCGTGGACATCGAGAGACTGTGTCACGAGCCCGCCGTTGTCCCCAAGTACCCTAGCTCTCCACCCGAATCGGGTGGATGGTATAGGAAGAAAAGAATAAGGCAAAGGATGGTTGAAGCACAATCTAAGGAGAGCTTTAGCACAAGGCTATCGGTTAACGCCGCCTTACCCTTTTTCACGTGACAGAAAAGAGAGGAAGCTATAAGAGTTTCCTCTCACCCGATTCGGGAGAGAACTCTTCCTTTTTTTTTAAGCGTTGAGTCGTTAATACGACTACGTGATATAGAACAAGGCATTCAGCTACTCCAATTCTCTGTACCTACTGCGTTGCGTAGGTCCCTGATAGACTGCTCTTGTTCAGGCGCTGGCCAACGTTGGCTCTGTGAGACGGAGAACTGACACGTCGAGGACGCAAATGGATAACGGTAGTCTGTCTTCCCGACAACTTGCCTGTGTCAAAAAATGCCAACCTGAAACCTTTCCACTCAGCGCCATCCATGTCGATGCCGTCCTGCTGTAAATTGCGCCGGCGGTTGGACGGCGTTTGAAAGTGGCCTAATGCTCGATATTGGTCACTATCTCAGAGACTCCCTCATCTCGCAGCCGGATTGTCCAACCAAAGGGGAGGGGAGGGTGAGGGAGAGGCAGACATCTTCCTCAAACCAAGTGTCAGACTATCCTCAAGGTCCTCATTGATGTCTTGCGACCTCGAGTCGAGGAAGTGACTATTTTTGCCGCTGGTAGGATAGCGACGGAGGTGTGGATCGTCGGTAGGATTAGAGTATCCAATATTCTCACCGAAGGGATCTCTTGTCTTCTCGAAAATGCAGTGATGAGACACATCATGGCCGATGCATATTACCTCTGGGCAGGCGCTCAGAGCGACCTGTATGACCAGTCGGTATTGATTGCAATCCAGGTTCCCACCCCAGTTTTGCAAGGTCTCAAACTGCCACCCTGAATGAGATCGTGGGTTTGTTTTTCCAGGATTGCCACCTTCAAGCCTCTCTTTGACCGCATCGAGGGCGATATCGACCTGTGCCTGTATCCCAGCCACCAATAATGATAAGGTCGCATATTTCCGACGAGGGTTATCGAGGATGACTTGTTGAGGTGTCGGCATCTGTTCTGCTCTCGTCGTGATACAGGGGAATTCAGCTGAGGATGAGGTTTCCATCCTCGTCTCTTCCAGGACGCGTCATCATCGTGGCCTTGACTTCCTGTCGTTTGAGGACTGACAGGCACATGAAGCCTTGGCCACTTGCTGTAACGACTTCTCGGCAAAGCCAGGTATCCCAGCCAATCCTCAAACATTTGCAGCTTACTGACGGGCAGCCTTCGCCCACATCCGGTCCTCTTTGTAAAGGATGGAGTGCAGTGTAACTGAATTAGGGCTGCATGTAAGCATTGATCGATTATCACGGGTGGCGAGAGGAGAAGTGGAAGCAGGATGCCGCTGACAAGGCTGGGGAAGACCCAGCCCGGGAAGGCGGCGGAAAAGAAACACGAAAAGGCCAAAGTAAAGGCTGGTCGCTGGGTGTGCCTGAAGACGCAGAGAGACCAGCCTCACTCGCTGTCGTATGTTTTGCTTGGTGTTGAACAATCAGGGAAAATTCATGTATATACGGCTTCAAGTCCCGGAAAGCACGACGTACTCAGGAATTTCTCTTGTTCGTCTGTTGTGCAGAGAACATGTGGCTGCTCCCCGCGCGAGAAGAGAGCCACATCCTAGACCCCTTGGTATCTGGGCTTTTCATAGTCCTGCGGAGCACTCTTTGCTGAGCAATAACAGCTCACGATTGATTGTATCTAGTCTTCGGTATGAACAAAGCACTCGGTCACGGAACAACAAGAGCCTTCATCCAGATGACGGGTTGTGTTGACAGGGTCGCGAGGGCGCCACTGGGGCAAACCACCTGAGACGCTAGGCGTTTCACCAACTGCGCAAACTGCCTCAACCTCGTTGTTGTTGCAGACCTGTGATAGGATGGCGACGGAATAGGAGGTTTCAGGAACGATCTTATGGTTACAGGCCAATGTATATATAAACAGGCAGAGTCTCTCTGAATCGCCAGGGGGACAGAACACAATCAACCTGATAGATCCACAACTGTTCTGCGTTCAACAGGTTGGCCGTCCAGTCGGTCGGAAAGCGAGGTAATGAATCACTGTGAGACTCTGACCTCCTTGGTCAGTAACCCCACCGACTCTGTGTTTTCCGCGCAAACAGACCGGTTTAACAACTTCTCGTTGAACCGAACCGTCAGGCGGCTCATCCGGCAAAAATCAGGAGGGAAAAAAAGAGAAAGTCGAGTCCAGTCAAGGCGTGAATATCGTTCATTCATTGCATTATGTTGCGTTGCTAACGCGGACTGCTCGGCGCCTTTTGGTCTTGCTACTCAGAACAGAAAAATCGACAATTCAAAGACATCAAAGTCGTCTAATTGATCAAAATAAATCAAAGCCACGCAACGCAAAGTGAAGGAAAGGAAAGCAAGGCGAGGCACGGCAAAGCATTCTCAAGCTCAGATCCGAGGTCCAAGCAAAAACAAAGCATCTTTCACGATCCGAAACCGCTCATGCGCCACTCACACACTGCAGAAGCATGAACAGACACGCCAAATATGTTCCAGCCTGGGTCCCGCTCGCGTCAGTCGATCGTGGCCATCTGTCGGCGATGGAACGATCAAGGTGTCCTGAGAGACACGAGGCTTCGGACTCAGTTCCGCCAATCAGATCGCTCCATTTGCGGAGTTCACATTTGTGGAGCTCAATGTTTTTCATTGTCATACACGTACTTTTTTGCACAACTCTTTCCCACAAAGGAGACAAAATATCCCGGCCGTCCTGTCCTGTCCTGTCCTAGGTTGTCCATTTCCTTCAGTCTCTGATGCGTCGGCGGGGCTCACTACTCTGCGAGTAGGGATTCGAGCCAATCCGGCCGTTGGAGACCAGGTCGTTGAAAAAGGGCTCCCAGATATTTTGTCTCCTTTTTGGGAAAGAGTTGTCGGTATGTTGGCCTGTTGGTATGCCAGCAGACCAACAGACCGACATACCATTCTACATTGCCTCATTCGGAAGGCTCTCACAGGTATATAGCCATGCCTCCGCCCCTGTCCCAGTTATACTCTCTTCGTAGCCAATTCATGTTACCTACTGGACCATACTGTTCTCAGTGACAAGACTGCTCATACCTTGCATTTCCCTCACAGAGTTCATACTATCAAGGATCTGTTACTGAGGAGCCTAACCTGGTTAGGTGATAGGGCAGCAGCTCTAACATGTGTCTGCATCATCTGGGACTACAGCACTGGTGTCGCTTACCAGAACTGGCGCCCAGGTGTTACGCCTTCTCTCGATCCAGGGCAGTTCTGACCTTGCCCTTTGTTCTTGCGCTGCAGTGACATACTTTCCCAACAAGCGCTGGTCTCAGAGAGCGGCACTTCCGCGAGAGGCGCGCATACTGTACTCGGCCCTCTCTCTTTTGCGAGATTTTGGGCGTGATGAGGTTCTTCTCCACGGTATTTTCTGCCATGGGGCGATCCATCTCTTCTGGGAGAAAATCCTTGTTCTACAGGGTTGCAGCAAGTTCCCTCAATAAAGTTTCGCGCGTTTTGTGGAGGGGAAATTCTTCCAAAATCTCTCAGGCCTCGAGGGCCCACCTGCTCTGAAAATCGGTTAGCTCTTTGGGCCCAGGGATTGGATAAGCCGTTGTGTGTCTTACAGATTTCTCTATCCGGGGTCGTGGGGCAGTCCATGGTTGTCCAACGCAAACAAGAGCAACGAGAAACTTTGTAAGGAGCAATCAGAGGATGCCGGGGTGGATGGATGGAGAGGATCGACTGGTTGCAGAATGGAAAGACAAGGGGAAGGATTGCAGGGTGGACTGTTGGAGGATTGGGCGGAGGGGAAGAGGATGATGCATACGAGCTGACCGCACGAAGTGGTGAGTGGTAAGCTTATACAGATAAGATTGAGGCTAACAACCAGGCCATATGCGTGGTTAGTATCAAGCTTGAATCTGCCCAAACAGCAATGAGGCTGTCACGATTCATCATTTTGTGCCCATCTGCTGTCAGTTTGGCTCACTTCCAAGTGTTTTCCTGGTTTTTTTGCACGTCAAAGAGCTCAGCAACTCCTTTTCAAGCATCAATCAATGCAGATTCTGAAACAAGGCTAATGAAATTGCAACGATGGACAGTAAAACCGCTTATCTTGTTCATCTGGACTCGCCTCGTCGGCATCTTCGGGGACCGCGACGCGGAGATTGTGGGCCGGCACTGGGTGGCGGCAAGGGTGCGGGAAATGAAATCTCGTATTGCAAGGGATTGAAATTGGGCAGTGTTATTTCAGAAAGGCGGCGGAGAGGGGAAATACGGAGGTGGGATAAGAGGCCCAATGCGTGGAGAGCATATCGTATTGTCGGATGGAATTGTGGAATTATCTGATCTACCTAGTTCTTGGAGGCGCCGCGCTGTCGCATTGTCACTGCAACCTCGCCATGGACGTTTCCCTGTTTGCACCCCCTGTCCGCCCTATCAATACCCATTGCCTTGTTTCGCCCCGTCCAACCACCTCTCCCAAGTACGAGTTCAGCTCTCCGCAATCCTTAGGCACGACAATCATTCTTGGTCATCCTATCGCAGCTCATTGCCCAGCGTAAGCAGTGCCTCCTTCTGTTTCCAAAGCAAACTATTCTCAGCTGAAGTACTGGGGCGCCGTGTTGAAAGCGGCTTGTGCTGTTTGCCGGCCCTCCGCCGAGTTTGACCAGGAGAAATTAAACTCGCCACCGCCACCTATTTTTGTTGATACATTGTGCTGTTTTCCAGAGTTTTTCGGGGGAGGGAATTTTGAATTGAGCAGACTCGCCCAGCCAACGTAGGGAATGAGCTGGGCTGCACCAAGCAGTAGTGCGCAGTGCACGCGGAGCGCCATCTGCGTTGATCTCAGTCATGTAGTGATTTTGTGCAGCCATGAAGACCATTGCTGGCGCGGCAGGTCGGTGTCCGGGTTGTCTTTTCTTCACTCCAACATCACAGAATGCGGCAAAACTCTTGCTGGAATTTGATACGCTCGTCTTCACTGTCAAAGTGCAGGGGTTGGTCTTGCTTGGCTGCGTTGTGGACAATGTCCACGTCGGCTTTGATCGCTTCCCAGTCTACGAGACGGTTCATGAAGTCGCCGGCTTCAAGACTCGATTGCCATTTTTGTGTCGTAGCCATGCTCAACATGATCATGACTGGCGTGGAGAATCACAGACATGGCGCCATTGTTGCCCTGTCTGATACAACTCGGGTTGGAGGTACGGTCACTACAAAAGAGGTTCGTGACAAAAATAAATTCGTCGTTCTGGTAGAATTATGCGACTTCGATGGCCCCGCTGGCAGCGCCATTCATGGCCGTGCCGCCATGCCGCTGTGGTGATTGACGCGCGAAATGTTGATAGCGGAGAGCTTCAATCCTGGTTGGGGGATGCCAGGCCCTAATAGATATCATGGGGAACATGTTTGTAGCGTTTAGAGCCGCAATGGGAACCAATATCGGATGCATTTCCACACGACCGATGAGAGGAGAATAACTTTCCAACCGCTCAGGACCGTATTTGGATAGATCCAATCGCGGTTTTTGATCCTCCCTGTATGGATTTGGCCGAAGATTTAGGCTGTAGCTTTGGTGACTGAGCGGCAGGCTCGGGATCAGCTGTTGCTCGTCTGGCTTGTCCAGGTCAATCAGTCTCGTTGTGCGTGCAGCCATCTCCTTTAAAGGGATGGTCGTCTGGGTGATCCATCGGGCAAGCCCTTGTTCCTGACGAATTGCGTCCCCAATAATTCTCATCCCAGATATTGGGATAATTTGGTAAGAAGACTTCGGCGAGGTTCTTATGCGCTCTCTCCGCAATGGTGCGCCTGGCGCCATATTGAGGAAAAAGTTCTCCCATCCTTTGCTGCCAAATAGATACGTACGGCGGGTGATGTGATGGATATAGAAGTCGATGTCTGCAACCGTGTCACGCAACAATAGCTCCTTTACCGCTTGCAGGAATTGCAAATTGGCATCCAATGCTAAAATTGCCGCGAATTTCGCCTTGGTTGCTGGTGAGGGAAACAAGTCGGGAGTGCGAAAAAGTCTGAGAATCTCTGTGCGTAAAAACTGCAGCCGCTGGATTTGGTCATCCGCTTCATGGGGCCGGGCAAGCTTTACAAGTGGAAAGGCCTTTGCGCGAAGGACTTCCATGATGAGAGTGATGAGATATTCATCGCTGCAAACTACCAAAACCTCTCTACTAGCTGTTACAAAAGGTCAATGAGAATAAATTGCGCGATGAAAGGGAAACTCACAGTTCAAGACTCCTCTATGCTTTGCCTTTCTCTTGTACCGCTCACCTTTGGAACGAACAGTCTGCGTATCAGCCATGACATGGAACTTCTTGTGATGAGTTTCATCAGTCCACAGCATCAGATTGCAGAGTCATAAACTTTAAGCTTGAAATCCGAGCTGAAATAATTTGAAAAGAAGCATCTTCAAATGAGGATGTGACATGAGACTGGCGAAATTCACTGATTTCAGAATTGGAGAGGTTGGGCATGCAAGTGATGGTATTTATCTGGGGAACAATACAGTAGAAAAGGTGAGGCAGAATGTGAATGTAACAAGTGAATTCCTGGTGACATCGATGATGAAAAGAGCTAGATTTCAAACACTTCAGTCTTTCCTCACTTCGGATTCAAACCTTTCCCCTTCATTCTCTCCAATTCAACTGCTCTCTCACTCAATTATCAGTTCTCCCGGGAAGTTGAAACATCAGTCTCACATACCAGTTCCTTTGTTTGTTTATAAGACCCGTGCACGATGGCCATCCAAAGCAAGATGGTTGCGGACAATGACCCAATCCCAACCGTGGTCCAAGAATTCTTTCGCTCACTCGCGCCAGCCCAGTTGAGCTCGATCACCAAAGCAATTGTGGCTACTATCCCGGAGCGTTCGACAAGCGAAAATCGCATGTCCTTTATCGCACGCAACAAACGAACAATGTCACCGAAACGTCCTTTGAATGGTTTCATTGCCTATCGAGGTGAGCGCACCATTCTCGTCTGATCTCCTCTGCTAAACAATCGATAGCATACTACAGTCCCGTGTTCAAGGGTGCAACCCAGAAATCGAAAAGCGGCTGGATGAAGACCCTGTGGGAAGCAGAGAAGAAGAGAGCGATGTGGGGTTTGTTGGGACAAGCATACTCCGACATGAGAGACCACCATACCGAGTCGATTGCAGTGGACAAGTTCCTGGCGATTGCGGTGCCATTGCTCCCAATCATTCCCGTGGATGAATACCTGAACAAGATGGGGTGGATATTTGCGGTCGACAGCAGCGGCGAATCGGTACTTGTGCGAAGCCAAGAATTCAATGAGGCCGCTTTGGACGCCGAGTATCCTCCTGTGTGCAGGCTGTCCCTGCGTGACATTGTCGAGCACTGCTACCGTCAAGGGCTGGTGGAGCGCCGTCGCCGGCAGCGCACCCGTCAACACCCATTACGCGACGCGCTGGTGCGAGAGGGTTTGATGACGCTGCAGGCTGCGGCCTCCGCTGCTGCTGGTGGCGGCGGTGGTGGAACAAGCGGTGGACCTGCTGGTACCGCCGCCGCCGCTGCTGTTCCTCAAACTCCGCCACGCAGCTGCGGCGCTCTGACTCTTGCAGTGATGCCGCAATCGGTACGTTGGTCCCATGGCCCAAATCAAGCTCTCGTTCTCCCGACGTTGACCCAAGGCTTGCTGACTCTATGCCAAAACAGGTTACATCTCCTGCTACAAGCGAGCAAATCACGAACGGCACTCAAAACCTGGCATTGGCGGGATTGAGCAACGCAGCCAGCGCAGTCAGCACTCCCAGTCTTGTGGCCGACAACGAGCACAACGAGCTCGAGGCAGCCGATTTGGACTACCTGACCATTGAGCACGTCATTGCTGACCAGCAGTCGGCATATGGGCGCACCAACGGGCCTTCTCAGGCCGGATTGCATTTCCACCCAAGCATCTCTCCGCCCATTTTAGGCTTTGATCCACGGGTTATTCAGGACGACTTTGACCCATTCAACCTCAACCTGTTCGGGTATGACATCAACAGCCACACGTGAAGAGAGCAATGCCACTCCGACGCTCTACTCAGGTGTTGCTACGCCTGGTAAGAATCAAGATCGTGTGAAGCGAGCAAGACACACCACACATGGTGCGACCGGAGACGATACAAGTCTAAATTGGAAGTGAGCGGGAGATTTTTGAGTGTGCAAAGGCATACCAGGCTTGCAATCATAAGAAACTAGCAGCAGTCGCAAGCATTTCAGCATTCAAGCAATCACAAGGACGAAGTTGGGAGAGGAATATAGAGGAGATATCTTGAGATGGAGACTGCGAGGAAGGGGGAAGGGAAGGGTCAGCATCGGGTGGTTCAGTGTCTGCGGTGCTCCATGAAGGGGGGTTAGCATACAGTATGCACAAAGGCGCAGGCGCAGGCAGGTCGGAGTGCGCGAGTGCGACATAGTTGCCGACGCAACCCAGCGCAGCGCAGGGATGTGATATCGGGTTTCAAGGATTAAGGAGATTCAAGGTATGGCATGGGTGATTTATTCAGTTCTGTTCATAGTCTGATACAGTACGATTTCATCCACCGCTGCCATCAGGTCGTGATTGCAGCAGATCTCAACCACCAGACCGAGGCCTCGAGTGCAAAATGCCTATGTTTCTCGTTAATCTGGAGAAGATTGAACCTGATGATAATAATTGGTAAAGCTGGACCGTGAAGTGTTGTATCTGACACGACTTGGACGTCACCGCAGCTGAAGTAGGGGCTGCGCATTGGCTAGCTGCAGACATTGCCCTGCCTCTGTTGGGTTCTGGTTTGGATTTTTGGGTCGTGATTTGCCGATCGCTAGTCCTATGCCGTCAATTGGGAGCCTACCCCGCTGCTAGCTTATTGCCTAGGTTCCTTGAGCCTGATTGGACCACGAATGTCTTCCTTGCTTTTTGATGTCTCGACTTCCACCTCCAAAGAACTATCGACGAGGTTGGCAGCGATGAGCAGGATGGAAAATGGCCCTTACAGACATCTGCCCACATGGATGGATGCTGAATCATGGACAAAATGAGTGCTGTCGACAGCCGCTTGTCTCGTACGATGGTAGCTGCAGCTTCCGAGCCTGCGCCGTGCGTGCGCCGTGTCGCCTCCGCAGCCCGACAAGCCAATGGCATTTCTCCAAGGCAGTGCAGAGTCTTGCCTTGTTGTTGTTTGGCAGAGCGGGTGGTATTGCCGGCCGCCACTCGTCGAGAAACATTCTCCGGAGTCCTTTTGAGCTTTGGGCTTGAGCTTGAGCACAACATCCAGCCACCGTACTTGGCGCACGCCGGGCTGAGATTGGCAGTTTCACCCCAACTCGTGTCTCGATCGGATGTAGTAGCATTCAGCCTTCTGTCATGTGCATACTTGATAGCAAAGTCTGCAGCAACCTCCTCCGAAGCGGTCGAAAACTTGCTTGTTTCGTCCCAGGCGAAAGACAATTGCTTTCAGCCAGAGAAGGGGAGTGGTTGTGGACCTTGACGTTGGGTCGTCCCGGCGGTGAGTGGTCATGGCAACCCAATGGCAGCTGCTGGTCCAACCTGCAAAGTTTTCCACAGGCGAAGGGATGAAAATGTGGAAGTCATACACCGAGAGGTTGGCAAGATTGGGCAGCGACTCCTCTGTGGCGCTGATTTTCCTTTCTCGCTCAAAAGAGATTGTACAGATGACCGACGAGGAGAAAGGGTTCCGCCAGCGATGGCCATGACCACCAAGGCCTTTGACGGCAAGAAGGGCTTAAGCAACAAATCCGGTCCGGTCACAGACGAGTCTCAGCTGCTCAACGACACTGTCGTTCACCAAGACAATGGCACCTTCTCCAAACTGCGCCGGCGAGCAGCCCGGAGAAATTGGGCGTCGATAGCGAGGCCAATGACCGCAAGCGTAGTGTTAAGGATCCCTACTGATCCTAACTGGGTTAGGGTTCTCAGCAACAATTCTAGTATAGCATAAGCTGGTTATGGATCACGCGCGGTATGAGCGGTCCTATGTTACTAAGAACTGTATAGTCCAGTAGATAACATGAGTTGGCTACGAAGAGAGCGTAACTATCTAGGGGAGTGAGGGTGTATATATAATGTTGATGCTCTGTGCGCTCTATGCACTCTGTGCGCTCTGTTGATAGAGCCGATAGAGCCAACAGAGCCAGTAGAGCGTACCACATAACTTGCCCCTGTTTCCTTATGAAGGCTTCTTCCTTTGTGGCCAATGAGTGTATCCTGTCCTACCCCTCATGGCTCGTGACTAGCCTCTCCTAAGGCTGTGTCTAACACGTGGTGGCTCTAGCGTATATCGGCATCTGGGGGCATTCTGCTACTTTTGTACGTTGTCCCAATCCTACTGCTTACAATACTTCTGCACTATAAATTTATACTCGACGCCGTGGTAGTGGGTGTTCGCCCCAGTTATAGGGGTACTTACTCTAGTGTGGACCGCTATTTAAGCTTATTTAGCCTTTTTTATCCTGTCCTTATTCTACTCTTACAATTCTTTTTTTATTAAATATTTATGTTCCACGCTATAGTGGTACCCTAGATCGAAAAGGATACGGGCGGATGGGGTAGCTCGACTAAGGACCGGCTATCGGCCTAGGTGCATTCGGTAGTAGCCGCGCACTTAGGGAGTATTGTGCTTATTAGAATTAACTCTTTCTATCTCTCCGTGCCTCTCTTCGCCCTCTCTTCTACTTTCTAAATGTCTAGGCGTAATGGTGTAAATATTAAGAAGAAGTTAATAGGAGCGAGAAATACGTAAATAGTGTTAAGGATCCTTACTAATTCTAACTAGATGTTAAGGATCCCTACTAATTCTAACTAGGTTAGGGTTCTTAGTAATAATTCTAGTAGTATAAGCGAACTTATATTACTACTCTCCTCTAGAGTAATTTTCGTTAGTTTAGTGTTAGTCTATATTATTAGATACAGCCTTAAGGAAGCCCGACTACGAGCCGCACGAGCACGACTCACCACGTTCATTAGACACTTAGAGGGATCCACGAAGAAATAAGGCTGGGTCACGTGATATACCCTATTAGCCCTGTTGGCTCTGCTAGCCCTATTAGCATAGAGCGCATAGAGCGCATAGAGCGTAACAGAGCGTAAGCATTATATATACACCTTCATCACCCTAGGTAGTTATACTCTCTTCGTAGCTAACTTATATTATCTACTGAACTATATAGTTCTTAGTAATAGAGAACCCTACTTATACCTTATGTCTTCCTCAACTAGCTCATACTATATTAGGATTATTGCTAAGAACCCTAACCTAGTTAGGATTAGTAGGGATCCTTAACACTTTAGCTACCACCTCCGTTATAGAAGACAACCCCTATGAGTAGACCGAACCGACCCGCCTCACCTATAGACGAACTTACGCAACGTACTACACGACTATTACTTAACGATAATACGATGTCGATAACCTCGAGTACACTAAGGCCAACACTAAGCACCCTAAGGACTACGGCCAGTGCACCACCACCGGCGTATAAGATAAGTGTAGTAAGCTCATCGAGAGACGTGCTATTAATAGTTAGTAAGGGAAAGATTAGCAACCCACCTAAGCTCTTTAATGGCGTAGAATCTAAACTTATACCCTTTATTCACTATATAGATATATATATTCTAATGAACCTCACTAACTTCTAGAATAACTTATAGAAGATTCTCTTCATAGGAAGCTACTTTAAAGGAGACGCTAAGGTATAGCTTAGACCCTTCATTAAGAATTATATAAAAAATGAGGGAGACGATAGGGAGAATAAAACTATTAATCTATTCGAAACCTTCATAGAGTTTAAAGAAACGATGAAGCTAGTATTTAGAGTAAAGAATAAGAAAAAGGAAGTCTAAAAGAAAATAGTAGGCCTCCGATAGACGGAATTAGTTTAAGAATATACGATAAAATTTAGAACACTAAATATAGCTCTAGGTTAGTAGAATAATATTACTATCTCGATCTTTAGGGAAGAACTAAAACTAAAAATTAAGTGGGAATTACGATATCTTAAGAAGACCACCCTAGAAGACTAGATAGTCGCCGCTATTAAAGAAGATAACGATATTAAAGAATATCGGTAATAAGAACCATATAATCCTAGAAAGATATAAGCTATAAAGGCTCAATAAGTAAATATCTAGAAAAGACGTAAGCCGTACTACGGACCCTAATCTATAGATCTAAGCTAGGCGTAGAAACGGCGAAATAACTTTAGAAAGAATAAACTAAAGGAGCCTTCCGGAAAAAAGAAGAAAGTTACCTACTATAGCTACGAAAAACTAGAACACTACGTAAAGAAATATAAATAAAAGAAGAAGTAGATTACTGCCGTAGAAAAATAACTAAAGTAGGAGAAAGTCGCTAAAATAACTCTAGAAGCTAATATAGCTAAAGAAGAATATATACGCCTAGGCGACTCTATAAACTAAGAGAAGATAATCATTACGGAGATCACTACTAATAAGATCTACATTCGAACTAAGTACTAAATAAGAAAACTATACTCTAACCCGTACTATCTACGGCGAATTATGGAACATAATTATACGGTATATAAATTAGACGGATTATCAGTAGATATAGAGATAACCTTTAGGATTTATATATACCGAAGTTAAGAATATCTATGAGTTAACACTCACTCGGATTTTATACACACTCACTAAGGAGGAAACCCATAGGGACAATCGCTAACCTAGATTTCTTCCGATAATACGACGCCACTTAAATATAACATAGCTAATTCTAAATATAACTCGGACCCCGACCACACTAAGGAAAGCTAAATATAGGAATCTAAAGAATTCTTCATAGAGAAGAAAATTAGATAACTAATTCGAGAAGCCACCGAACGAGTTATAGCGACGGTAGCGTAAACGGAATAGATTACCCGCGAAGTAAGGGAGGCTATAGACTAAGAAGAAGTCTTCTTACGATTCCTCATTGAAAGGAATATTCTAGATATTGCTAGAATGACGAGACTTTTAGAAGAAGAGGTTCGCGAACGAATTAACTACATAAGGATTATAGATCGAGCGGAAGCCGGGGTATAGATAACTATACGCGCTTATCGAGAACGAGGAGTCCTAGTTCCGCGATACATTAAGACCTTACTTAATATACTTATCACCGAACTATTTCTCTATAATCGCGTTTATAGTTACTCTCTCCGACTAATCTCACACCTCTACGAGTAGTATCTCGACTACCTATAGCCCGAGAAGCTAGATATAACGGCCGTAGAGATATAGTAGACTTACGCTAAATTAACTTAACGATACGGCGACTATAACTACGACGTATTATAATCTTAAGATGAAAGAATAAATTATCTTCACTGACTAAAAAACTAGGTTAGTAAGAGAATTAGGGGCATCTATATCACCGAAAGTATATCTCTAGAAAACGTTAGCGCTAAAAGATTAATAGTAAAGGCGTATATCTAGTTAGAACTAGAGAAGAAAGACGAAAGCTAAAACTCGAAGTGAATACGGCTATAAGGTCTAACGCTAGGGCTATATTCCTTAGAGAGACACTTAAAGACTAAGAAATTAATATTCTAATAGATTTAGAATGTATAGGGAACCTCGTATATATAAGGGTAGTAGAGAAGCTATAAGACTAGAAAGCTCTAAGGCCGGAATTCGACCTAATTACTGGATTCGATGGAACGATTATAACATAACTTACGCACGAGCTGAAAGTAGTATAACTAACGATTGATAATCACTAGGAAAGGCTAGATCTTAACATTATAAATATGAAATACGATATAATTCTTAGAATACTATGGCTAAAATACCATAACTCTATTATCGACTAGGCTAAATTCTAGGTGCGGTTCGATAACTACGACCACGATAATAAAACTCTAGAAATAGAGATAGAGGCGGTATAAACCCACGTAAAGAAAACGGTCTGGGTGCGATCGGCACGGGTTTTTAACAACGCGACTATAGAATATCTATCATAATATACACACTTAAAATTAATGTTCGAGAAAAGAATAGAAACTAATACACTACTAGAATATAAGCTATAGAACTACGAAATATATCTATAGAAAGAAAAATAACTTATATTCGGACCTCTCTACTCTCTATCGGAAAAGAAGTAAATCGCCCTACGAGAGTATCTCGAGGAGAATATAGCGAAAGACTATATTAAACTATCGAAGTCGGAAGTAGAATACTCGATTCTATTCGCTCTAAAGAAAGATAGTAAACTTCGATTATATATGGACTACCGAAAGCTTAACGATATTACCATTAAAAATATCTACCCGCTACTACGAATCAATGAGCTATAAGACCGACTAAGAGGCGCTAGATACTTTACGGCACTCGATATTCGGAACGTATATTACCGCATACGCATAAAAGAAGACGAAGAATGAAAGATAGCCTTTAGAACCCGATACGGATTATTTAAGTATTGTGTGATGTCATTCGGGCTCACTAATACCTCAACAACGTTTTAGGCGCTAATCAACAATATATTAAGAAAGCATCTCGATATATTTTACGTCGTATACCTAGATAATATACTAATTTACTCCAAGATATATAAAGAACACGTAGAACATATTACGAAGGTGCTAAAGGCCCTTTAGAAATATTAGTTACCGGTTAAACTAGAAAAATATAAATTCCATAAAGATAGTATTAAATTCTTAGAATATATGGTCACCCGAGAAGAACTTAAGATGAACTCTAATAAGGTTAAAAGTGTATTAGAATAATCAGAACTAACTACACTAAAGAAACTATAAGCGTTCCTAGAATTCGCCAACTTTTATCGAAAGTTTATACGGAACTATTCGCGAATCACTATACCCCTAATAAACCTAACAAAGAAAGGAGTCGCGACCTTTACTTTAATAGAGCTTACTAAATAGACGATCAAGAATCTTAAGAAAGCGTTTACTAAGGCCCCGATCCTCACGATCTTCG